TTCTAATGAGGTTAGGATTTGATTTTTATTTGGCCTTTGAAGACTAGCTCTGGCAACTAATCTTTTGACAGTTCCTCCGATGCCGTCACTTGCATTTTTGCCGTGAGCAGTGGAAAAGAAATGCCATTCAGCAGGAATATTAAAATCGTATTTTTTTCTGGTTTAGAATTAAATTTGGATAAAATAACAAAATTTATATTTTTTAATTCTTCTCCAGATTTATATGCTACAAATGGATGTATAGTGGCCTGCACATTGTTCCAATGTAATCCCTCAACTTCATCTTGTAAAATGAAGGAATAATTCTCAGAATAATCTAGAATTGTTAAAAATTCTTATCTTTTAAATTTTTCTACATTTGTCATTAATTCATTCTGATGAATGGCGCAGATACAAACAGTGTGTGTGCCACTAGCTCCAACTAAAATACAGTTTTTTGGTCTTAGTTCGGCAAATTTAGAGAATCCAATTGATATATTTAGGTATTCTTCCTTAAACATTTTGAATATTTATTTAAGCTTATTTAATACAAATCTTTGGACTGATTCTTTCTCGCCTTTAACAGATACACAATCTTTTATTCCAGGCATGAGTCGGCTTATTTCATCAGAACTATAATTTTGTTTATTTTCATTGCTTAAAAATTTTTTCAAAATCTTCGAAATTTTCTTTATCTTTGGTTATTTTAATAATTTAAGATGATGACAATTTCATAACATTCTTGATCTTGATGGGTATGACTTAGTCTGGGGGGTGGGGAGGTGGAGGGTTGGGGGTAAGCCTGGTAATTAATGTGATTTTCGATTTTTCCCTTAATAATTTTCCTGCACTCCTTTAATCCTGCTTTTTTGTTAGTGTGCTAGTCGGATTTTTTTAATTATTTTTAATTTACATTGAAATATTAAAAAAAATTATTAAAATTTTTTATCCTGCGATTATCTCAGGGGAATAAGGTTTACAAAGTTATATAATAGAATTTTATGATATATTATACATTAAAATATTTTTAATCAATAAGAAAAATGAATTTTAACATATTATAACTATTATATATAGCGCCATCTATTTTTTTTAAAGTATAAAAATCGCAATATTTTTTTAAATAAATATCCAGCCATGCTAATTGTTGAAGAAATTATTTAAAAAATAGTAAACGGATAATATTTCTTAAAAAAATTAAAAATCGGAGATCATATACATTTCTAAATATTAATTTCAAGTTTTCAAATGACCATAAGATGACCCATATTTTATCAAAAATTAATTATGATGTTTTAGCCATAATTATCAATTATTAACTTAGCTATTGATATTAGATTCAATATTTGATCATATTTAGTTTTAAATTAAAAACTAATTATTTGACATCAGTAAAAAGCAAAAAAGACGTTTTTTGGACTTTTAACCCCGATTATCTCCGCTAATATAGTGCGCTAAAATTTTGTTTATAATCTAATGGGAACATATATAACCAGTTACAACTTTTTATCGAAATTGAAAGGGGTCGGCCGAAAATCTTGATTTTTTTGCTCATATGACATGGAATAACCCGTATAATCCCAAGCGAGGAGTATACCTTGGTTCCAAGGGGCTAGCATCATTCCATCAGGGTTAAAGCCATAGGATTCCAGTGTAGAAGAAATATTTGTGAATTTCAAGATTCTATTGATGATAGAATTGCTGGCATAGTGCCTGAATAATTTACCTTTTGAAAAATGAAGTAGGTCCAAGGGTATCAATTAGAGGTGGGCGCGGGCCTAATTTTTTAATCACAGCCCGCCCGCTCACGGTTGCAATAAAAAAATTATCGTCCATTCACACTTAACCACTAAAAAATTTCGACCCAACCCGCCCATTATCGAGAGGCAATATTTTAATTCACGCCCATAACGCCCATAAATTCACAGTGTTTTTAAATTTTACAAAACTATTGCTATTATTTTATATTTTTTTAATTTATTTCATTAATCATAATATATATTAATAACAAAAAATAAATATTTAGAAATTTTTGTTGAAATAAAGAAGAATGTCCATCTTTTGATTTCATTGTGTACGCCTTTCCTCTAAAGAGATTGGTTAGAGAATATAACCTTTCACTAGAAGCCTTACTTGCCAGGGCTGACAAAATATTGCTGGCTAATTTTCTCAAAAAAGGAAATGAATATTCCTGTTTCCAAAAATTCAAAATATTGTCTTGTTATTTGTATTATGAGCGATGAATCTTTTAAGTTCATCCTCACAGTTTTCATCGAAGATATTGATGCTTCATCAGAATCATCTAGAAATTTCTAAATTTTTCATTTAGAAATTTCGGTCTTTATAATGTAGGATGAATTAGAAAAGTTATAAATGATAGTTGACCATGAGTATACTGTTTTTTTATGAATTTAGGATAAATTAGGAAAGTTATAAATGATAGTTGGTATTGACTTATGCACATCATCTAATTTTATATCATTTCGCATTTTTATAGTTGTTTTATATATATCATCCTTTTCTTCTATTAATAACTTAAGATTTTTGAAATTCGTATCTAGTCTTTTAAAAGAATCTTGTTCTGTTTTTTAAGGTTTTGATTATTATTGTATCACGTTCAGAAGGTTAGCAAAATTTAACTAATTTTTGTTTCCATAAATAAACTTCATTCATTGTTGTACGAGAATCTGCAATCAGATTATCCGAACATTCTTTAAATATTATTAAAAATTTATCTAACTCAAGTATGATTTAATATCAATTGTGGCTAAATTATTTAATTCTTGCTTGCTAAACAAGTAGACCCATAATTCAGAATATGATTTTAAGAGACTCTGAATCATGATATATACAGAGTTTCCATATCGTTATTACATCTTGTTTAAGGGTGTGGTTTAGCTTGCTATTAGCTGTAGATTCTTTGAAATATTATGCTATAATTTTACACCATTTATATTTAAGGATATTTCAGCTAAACAATTTTCAAAAATATGATGCATAATATTATTTAGTATATGGCATACACATGCTAGCGTTTCGTGATATTTGAATGCATTTATAAGATTTGCTCCGTTATCAGTCACACAACTATACATTTATTTAAAATAATATTCTACTTCTGTGTATTCTTCTAAAATTGAATTGATTACACTTTTAATATTGACGCCTATTTTGATTTCCCTTTAGGTCAAAACAAATTCTTTTAATTCAAAATACTTAATGATAATATGTCCTGTAATAGTTAAAAAAAACTTATTTTTATAGTTATCCATCCAAAAATCAGTGGTTATGAACAAGTAATTATTATTGATCATGCTTTTAATCTTAATTTCATCGTATATTTTTGGAGCTATAGTATTCTTGAGTTTACAGCTCACAAGTATATCTTTTATATTTTGTTGTCCATATGTAACACCAACATTTATTAACTCTTGGCCTAGCTTGTAAAATCCTTCACTTTTTGTTGCATTTAAAGATAGAAGATCTTTACAAATAAAATATAATTGACTATTCTGTAAAATTCTTAAGCAAAATTTAGCAAAAAGTCTCGCGATAAACACCTAAACATAAAAAAAAATTGAACTAACGGAATGATAACGAATGTTGTTTATAAAATGAGGAAGATTTTTTTTTCAAAAATTATTCTTTTTCAAAAAAAAATTAAATTAGAAAATATATATTATAATTATAAATTGCAAATTTATATTTTTAAAAAATCAATTTTAAAAATTAAAATATCCATGATTCACAGGAAATTTATGTTCACGCCCAATCATGCCCAGGTAAAATTTTGGGAAGGCCCATCTCACATCTAGTATCAATATGAGTTTCAAGAGGGAAACATGATGTTGGCGTTACTATTTCACAAAATGAAGAGTTATAGCTATTCTAAGTTCTTCGTTGATTAATAAACAAGCTTAAATTAAAACTAGGTATAGTTTCTAACCATTCGTAGCAAAGATGGTATATGGCTGAGACTTGAATTATTTGATGTCTATTGTCATTATGTATACTCGAAGTTTGGGTTTAAGGGAAGAAAGAGTGCTGAAGATTTTTTTGAATAGCTTTGAAGTGTATTCAATGCAAGGCTGTATCAATGGTAAATTCCAGTCTCTTTGTCTTAAATTTGGATGAGGAACTTGGAGAATCTTTGTTCCAGAGGTTTAATGATGCCATATGATGTGGATAATTCGATAGTATCCTTTTTTTAAATCTAAAAATACTATTTAAATATTTTTATGATTTTTTTTCATATAAAAAGTAAGTTTATTAAATTTAATATTGTGTTGCGCTCAAGTGCTAGTGCTGAACGATTATTTAGTATGGCAAAGCTTATACTTTCTGATCATCGCTCTAGATTTGGGGATGACAGTACTGAAATGTTATTATTATTATATTAAAGTGCAATAATAAATAAATTATATATAAATGTAACAAATTATAGTCATGTTTTTATACCAATATTTTATTTGTGGAAATAAAGTTAAAGTTACATAAAAAAATATTTTTAAAAAAAATCAAAATAGATAAAAAGTAGCTTTAAAATAGTAGCGAGCTACTCATTTGAAAACGATAGCTGTAGCGGTAGCGTGCTACTTTTAAAAGTGGCGTTTAACAACACTGGTAACTAGTAATTATTTCAAAATAACTTTTAACAAAACTAATAATTATTTTCATTATAGGTTTAAAAATAAATTATTTAGCCCTAGCCCATGTTTTTTAATTATATTATTTGGCAGACTGGGAATCTTTGGCTTTGATAGAGGTCTTTACTTGAGAAAAAACTAAATATGAGAAGGAATGTGGAGGGAATAAAATTCTCCCCATTTTTAAGTAAATCTATCAAACCAGTTATTATTAAAGAAACCTATTTATTTTAAATAAAATTTAGTGGCATTCTTAAAAAATATATCTAAATAAAAGCTCAAATATAAATATATATGGTTATTGAGATATAGAAACAATTAAAAATTAAATAATTAATATTATTATTTATAAAAAATTAATGTTTATCAATTAACTTGTATCTTGTTCCTTCAAACAAATTTTCATTTCAGCAATAAAACTTCTAGAAAATAAATATACATTAAATTTAAAGGTAAAAAAAATTTATATTTTATATTAATGTTTAAAACCTATTATGTGGTGTGCCCACGCATGTATAGACATATTCAGTGTGTATTTTATTTGTCTGTAAATATTGATGCAAACGAGACTTTGCATATTCTAAAGTCCAATTTCCATGAATATCTGCATTTTTGTCCAAATTTTTGGTCTAAATAATAATTATACATATTTGAGAAGAATATCAAATTATTCAACATAAATTAATCAAGACAAATATAAGATCATGACATAAATTTGAGCATAATAATAGTTATTTAATTATTGTATATCATCAAATACTATATAATAACATCTAGATTTTCCATAATCTAAAGAATTTACCAAATTTATTTAAACTTTAGAACTTTGGGTAATAGACAAAAAAAATTGGAAGTAAAAGAATATAGAAACATAACAGTTTCATATAAAAGAAAAAAGTATTAACTTCTTCCAATTTTTGTTGTCTTAGTAACTCATCTGAATTATTTTCTGACGGTTCTATATGAGGTACATTATCAGGTTCTATAGAACTCATATTTGTCATATTTTCACCTAAAATATCATAATTATGTATTAGAAAATAATTTAGCCAATATAAATATTTAAATACAAATTTTTACCTTCACCCATTAAATGATTATAATGTGTATTATTAATTGAAGTATTTGATTCATTATCAGCTGCCTAGGATATGAAATAGTAGTTAACAATAAAAATATCTTTACATTTAAGCTTAAAGCATTCGCTGGTATTGCGCCTTCTTTGATTAAAAAGTTTATAAAATCTTTAGCAGCACAAGTTTGAGCATCTTTCTTACTTGTTGAAGTTCCCGTTCCTACGTAATCAAACGTTGATATATTAGCCTAAAATTTAATGTAACATTATAAAAAAAATGATAATATACCGAGCACGTAAATTGAGAACGATAATTAGATATAAAGGTATTATATGAGTATTTAAGGGTCTTATAATTTTTACTGCACCATGTATACAAAAAATTTTTAAAGTCAGCCATATTGTAAAAAATTATATTTTTTGTAATAACAAATCAAATTGTTGAAGGAATATTAAAATAAATATTAATTTTTAAAAAAAAAAGTTAAATAATAAATTGAAGAAGATAGCATATATTAAAACATAACAATGTTATTACTAAATTTATACAATTTTTAAAAGTTATCTCTAGAATAATCCTTCTTTAAAAATTATAATTATTTTTAGAAATTCATTAAAATAAAATGTACTTTTGAGGATTAAGCAGGTTGTTAATCAATTCCTTTAAAAATCAGGTTCTTTTTAAAAAATCCTGATCCAGAAGTGAGTTTATTTCTTTTTATAGATAATCCACTTATTATTTACATAAGACGTTTTTTAAAAAGAATAAAACAATATAGAAATAAATAATATACAATATTAATTGAATGTATTTATATATATATATGGTGAATTCCATACATTATCCCAGCCACCTCTCAAATTTTTTTTATAAAGATAAAAAAAAGTAAGGGCCTACCATTTAGACATAATTTTTAAATTAATATTATTTCATAACTATTCATTAAATTAAAATATGATGATATTAATGTTAAATTTGTTCAATTTTAGCCATATAAAGAGTGATAACTCCTAAATCCATGTTGATCCCAGTCTAGGATTTTGTACAAATATAAAGCAGTGTTAATCTATCTACAGAAAAATAAATTTTGAAAAAAAAATACCTGACATTTCCGGTTTTACACATCCGGTTTTCGATATTAATAAAATGTCCATCATATTTATTTTTATGTCATTTTAAAGAACATTTATTAAGCTACAAAATAAAATTAAATTATTTTTCTAACAAAATTATTTCTCGAGATATTTGAAAATAAATGAGGAGCATTTTGTCATAAATGTACTATTTTTCCGCGCTTTAAACGGCCATATCTTAGCGGGTAAGCAGTGTTGGAAGGTAAAATTTCATTTTTTTTCTTAGTTATAGTATACCAGTATACAAAATTTAAGAAAAATTGAAGGGGGTCGGGTTGAAAACTTTTTTTTGTTGATTTGATATGGAATTCACCATATATATGATAAATATTTTATTTCGATTTAAAAACGTTTACAATTTACAAAAAAAGGTGTAAGCTATATAAAAATAAAAAGATCTATATTATTTATTTTATAAAGAATATAATAAAATACTGTAATGTATTTTAAAAAAATGAAGAAACATGAGGGGGTGCATCTAGGTTATGGTACCGTGGATTGATATACTATGCAACCTACAAATTTCCATTGAGGTTCGTTGGATAGGTGAGTTATCTAAAATTAAGGGCATATTTTGACCGTGTGCCTTGAAAAAATCCAATGCTCTAGGTCCAAAAGCATCGATTGTGGCAGAAACGATCGTGGTTAGAGTAATATTGGAATGGTATATTGATCTTTCTAATTTCGGCTCTACCTAAGGAATTAGGACAAAAGGATAGCTGGATTCCCCTGCTCCATGGGATAATAGTCATTCCGTCAGGCCTGATATTGTTCCAGTGAGGTTCCAAAGTTGATCGAATATTAGCTAAATGGAGAGTTCTATGAATAATTAAATTTATTGCTTGGTGGCGTGGATGGTGGCCTGTAGAGAAACGGCAGTGAAGAGGGTGATAAACTAGAATGTCGACGGGGAGCTGACACTGTTTGCAAGAAGAGGGTGTGACGATATCACAACCTAATCAGAGACCTATTCCTATCCAAAGTTCTTCGTTAGAAAGCATCAAAACAAAATTGGAGCTAGGAATAGCCTCATATGTTGAATTGATGATGGAGAATTACTACTTTTTTTATTGGGAGGGGGAGGAATCAATTCTTTGATTTATTGGGGAGAGGATAACTGGGTTAAAGATCGAGGAAATGTCCTTTAAAGCAGCGTTCGAGTAAAGGAATTTAACGGTATGCTGGATCAAAGATAAGTCTTTGTGTCTGGATGATTAAGGCATGGGAGCATTTGAGGCGTTTGAATTCCATAAATCTAGTGTCAACCCCAGATGGGGATCTGTAGTGGTGGTAATAATATTATTAATTGTTGAATTTTGGTGTATGATGAGAGAAAAGTTGCAATACTCAGTGAGGCAGGGGATCGAAAGTCCATACCCCTACATTTGCACCGAAGAGCGGCTTGCATCCAGTAACTTGGAGATAATTTGAGATTGATTATAGATTCAAGTAAAATTGTACTTCTTTAATAAAAATTCAGATAGTCTTATTAATTTTTAAATAATAAAATATAATAGATATGTATTAATCTAATCTAATAATTAACATAGCACTCATTTAATAAAAATTTAGATAGTCTAATCAATTTTTAAATAATAAAATAAAATTTATATATATTACTTAATAGAATTTTAATATGAAATCGTTCAGGGGGTTATCAAATAACTTATTTTTAGTTGAAATGGATATTAGGGAGAAAAAGAAGTTTTTTTCGCTTCAGGGGGCTATTCAAATTTTTCAGAATGCTATAGCCCCTGCGCCTTCCCTAGTTACGCTACTGCACTTATTGTACAATGAAACAAGAAAAATTAAGATGTGCAGGATGTGGCCATTTTTGTCATAGTAAGGAAATATGTAATACGAATAAATACAAGAAAAGTGGTTATCCACTGAGAAGGGTGTGTCAGAATGCTTCAAATTTGAGGACTATTGAACAAGATAAAATGAAAGGGGTGAGACAAGGTCAAAATTTTCAAATTGTGGGAGAAATTTGATATTTTGCGGGAGAAATATGAAAATTGCGGTAGAAATATAAAAGTTGTTAAAAAAATTTTTTTGCGGGCCTTCGGCCAGTATTTTAAATTGACTTAATTATCGGCTTATTATTTTTTATAATTAGTTTATATAAATACAGTCGGTAACTATTTTTCAAAATAAAATAACATCTTGATTTATTAAAATATATTAATTTATAAAATAACCAACGATCCTTTTTAAATATAAAAGAATGTAAACAAGATAAGATTTTATAAAAAAAACAAACGATTTTAATTTTACAATGTAAAAAATATATTTTATGCGAATGTTCAGCAAAACATCCGCAATTGAAAATCTACCTTGTGTGTGTGTATAACATTATAGGGATAGGCGCTTAATTATCACGTACCACGTATAAATACATAATAACGTAATATTGTACTCATTTCAGTGATAATTATTTTATTTATTATTTTTCAATCACATTATTATAATCAGTGCAGGAGAGTGTATCTATATCCATTGCAAAACAAAAATATCCTCCAAAAATAAGAAATAATACAGAAGCAACTACAGTTGCGGCAACTGTAATCACGTATCTTGTAGTACAACATTCACAGAGCTACTTATCATTACAATGTGTTTATAATCTTTCCACATAATATTTAACGACTCCAAGATAAATGAAAACTTTACTTGTAGAACAAAAATGAGCAAGGCTATCATCAATGTTTTAGAACCTGAATCTGATTTGAAATAGTGTTGTTAAACGACTGAGTCGAGTCGACTTAGTCAAAAACTGAGTCTAAGTTTTGGGTCGAAAAAATCGACCCAAACTGACTTGAGTTATGAACTCGGATCGTGAACTCAAGTCGACTCAAATCGTGATTTCAAATTAGTTTTTATTATTAATTCAATACAATTATTTTTTTTAATTTAGACTTCCAACCTGATTAAGTCGTGAATAGAAATTACAAGCATTAATTATTATTTATTTATTTTTAGTAAAAATTTATTTTATTTATATTTAAATATTTATTAAATTAAAGAAGTGATATAATTTATTATGAAAATGAATATTTATTTGATATCTTATAATAAAAAAATGTTAAGCTGCAATGTAAGTTAAGTAATATCATTTTTGTTAAAATTAATTAGTGATTTTCACACCCAAATTTTAAGCAAAATTTGATTTGATTTGAATTTTAAATGATTTTTTCTTTTTTGTTAATAAACTTTTTTTTTGTAATTATTAGTAAATTTTATTTAAATAAACAATTTTTGAGTTGAAATCTTTTATTTATAGGTTTATTTTTATCATTTTTGTAAAATTATCTATTTTTTTTTAGTATTAGTTTAAATACTTATTTTTAAATATTTATATTAAACTTTTATAAGTTATTTTACATGATCGTCTTTGTGATAATTGTCATGTTATTTTTTAACATTTATGAAATCTTTGACAGAAAAGGATATAAATATAATTTATATTATAAAGATGTTAAATTATAAATTCAATGGTGATGTTCCTTTCTAAAAATGACAATTATCATAATCTGTATTTTTAAACATATTAGTTTATTTTTGACGCTAATGGGTAAAAATATAAATTGTAAATATGTTAAATTAAAATTTCAGTGAAGATGTACCCTAGATAAGTGACAATTGTCATAATCGTTATTTCTAAAGTTTTTTGAAATTTTTTGACGCATATAGGTAAAAATAGAGATTGTAAATACGTTTAAGTAAAAATTCAGTTAAGTTGTACCATAGATATGTGACAATTGTCATAATCGTTATTTTTAAAGTTTTTTGAATTTTTTTGACGGAAATAGGTAAAAATATATAGTGTAAATATGTTAAATTAAAATTTCAGTGAAGATATACCCTAGATAAGTGACAATTGTCATAATCGTTATTACTAAAGTTTTTTGATTTTTTTTGACGCAAATAGGTAAAAATATAGATTGTATGTCAGATTAAAATTTAAGTGATAGATAAGTGACAATTGTCAAAATCGTTATTTCTACAGTTTTTTGAAATTTTTTTGACGCACATAGGTAAAAATATAGATTGTAAATACGTTTAATTAAAAATTCGATGAAGATGTATCATAGATAAGTGACAATTGTCATCAGTGGTGTAGCTAGGAATTTTCCTTAGAGGGGGTCCATAGATATTAAATCTGGATGGCTTCGCCCCCAGACCCTCTTTAACGGGCCTTCGGCCCTTTTGCCCGGCCTTCGGCCGGGTTTATCTAACAAATCATAACCATATCTTCGATAATATATAATAAATATATTTTTTAAATG